AATAAAAAAATCATTTTAAAGAACCCCCCACATCACAACAGACCATAGAGCCTTGTTTTATGGTTGCAGGAAAGTATCAAACTATGTTTTGTTGAAAATTAAGAGAAGTCACATTATAACTATGCTAATGGCCAAAAATTTCATATTAGACAGGTGACTGTGACTACTCAAAATTACCTGTGCCTAGTCCAAAAACCTCAGTAAGAAACAATTTTAGATGGATTCAAATTAATAAATAGCATGAAATTTAAAGTTGAAATTTGGCATGTTTTTGAAATTAGTATGAGTGGATACATATGCAGGGCATTCTTTTCTCTCTTACTTTTCCTGTAACTCTACTTTAATGATGACAATAATATGGCTATGGACATGAAATAGCTTCCTTCTTCTCTTCCACTCTTTCCTTTCAAGTGTTCACATTTTTTTTATTGATACTAATATTAGCATTTTTGTATCCTTCCTAAGTAGATTGAGAAAATACATCAATAAAAATTTAAATTAAAAAAACAGATAACCTGAGATCTAGATAATAACAAAATATTTCTTCAAAAAGTGGTATAAGGAGTATAGAACAGGTGGCCAAAATTCTAGAATTGGAAACTTGGCTTTAACAAACCATAATTTACATTTCTGTCTCTTGTGGGCTGGACACAGAGACTTACCAAGACCAACATAAATTTATTTATGGAAATGCAACTTGCCCTTCTATACTTGTACTTTTGTTGATAACTTGTTGCAACCAATTCTGTATTTTCTTTGGATCTTTGAATTGATTTGCTAAAAGTTATCTACTGACCAAAAAGCTAAAACTCAGAATTCTCAAGTCATGAGACTTGTCCAGAGTCGACTTTTATTTTCTTTCAAAAATTCGCACAAGTAGCAAGAGAGGAGATGTAAATTACCTTATTAATTCTAATAAAATATGGGTATATGTTTAAAATTCATGGAAAAAAAGTGGCATTGATACGTCTGTATATTCTGTTTTGTATGTGATCCGACTATATTTTTCTTTGAAGAGAAGTCCTAAGAAAACTTGTAAGTATATGAAAAGTCAATTTCTTTAAAAATTGTCAACAACTTGACCCTGGTTTCTCAGTAGGAAAAGTCATCAATATAGGAATACTCCCAAGGAGTCTATTTTTGCCACAAAGAAATTAAGAATTAATATTTTACTTGGCACATTTCGTCATTGTGGAAATTAATGAAAACAACAACAACAACAACAACAAAAAACAACAACCCCACCACAGTGGAAAGGTATTTGAAAATGCATACAAGGTTAAATAGTCATTAGGAAAGAATTAATTAAGGGTAAAGAAGACAATGAAAAGAAAATGTTTGCTTGGTCTCCTGCTTCAGTATTGATCATCTATCTTGTAAATTTAAGGGGTTACTTTCGATGTCTTCGGCAACTTCCTCAGTCCTTTTCATTCGTTATCGCTCAGCTCCCTGATTCTGATTTCCGTCTGTGCTAAGATAGTAATATGAGATCAAGCTAAATGCATACCACAAGGTATAGTCATTTGAAATGCATTCTAAAATCAATTAGAAATTAATTTGCAGTGTCAGTGGAGGTGGAACATAATTACGGGCAATTGAGAATCGACTGTGTACATGCGCTCATATGCTTGTGTTTTTGTTCATGTTGATACAATTTTGTGAAACGAGGGGGAAATCTCAAATTACTTGGCTGCTTCTGCCTTATTACATTGTTCGACATTCAACTGGCATCACAGGTTACAATAGAGGGGAGATGAAAGTCTTTAATGAAGCCTAGACCTGCTAGCTTAAGTGCAGCTCAGCATTCTCTCAGATGGTGGTAGGGTTCGCCTCCAAAACCCTTCTCAGGAGATGACCTAATCAATTTCACCTGCATATCTCAACCAATATTGGCTTAAAATGTGAATATCAACCGAATGGAAATACAGACCCCCCCCCTTTTTTCCTTTCTCTTCCTCTGTCTTTTCTTTCTTTCTTTATCTTTCTTGTTTTCTTTTTCTTTCTTTCTTACCTCCTTCTTTCCTTCCTCCTTTTTTTTTTCCCCCCTCAGGTTCCACACTGGACCTTGATAATGTCTGAAGAAATCCTTAATCATTAGGACATAGGGAACATAAGTGGCCTCCTTTTATTCCTGGGCTGCTTGCGTTCTCGAGAAAGCATGAAAAACTTCTTTATTTGAGGGATTGCGCACCCTTTAAATTGCCCTGCAGATTTGCTTTTATCTAGGATGTCTTTTTAGGTCTATGGATGCCTGACTCTGTGACATCCTAAGTCGGATGAATTGCCTCATTTTCAATAACTTTCACTTTGATACACATATTTTTGAAAGCTTTCCCCCTTTTCTTCCTTTTGGAAATTGGATGTGTTAAACGTGCCCTGACTGCTTTAGCTTTGCCTATCTGTCTGGTGGGGAGCTGGAAAATTTACATTTAAACAGCACCTCCAACAGTTCTTAATGATGTGCTGAAAGGCGGCTGGCTCTAGTCCAAGTCTGGGGTTTCACTGCTCAGGCAGGAAGGTCAGTTTAGTCCTAAGGGGAAGGGGAAAAAGTACTAGACTCTGTATATCCTGCATGAGAAAAATTACAAATTCAGATGTAATATTTAAAATACTTCCTTCTTAATTTAAAAGTAATTGCGTTTAGTAGGCAGTGAACTCCCAATGGTTGATTAGCTTAAGATGTTTTGCTTTAGTTTGGACGTAAACCTCTAAGTGGCCTACTTTCATTTTCGTCTGGTTAAACAGTTTGTGGTTATAATATTTAAAATAAACTTTTAAAATGATCTTGGTCAGGGGGTAAGGGAGTTAAAAAAAAAAACCCACCAAACCTCAATTTTTGAAAACTTTTTCCTGAAGACCTCTGCCTAATTGTTCCAATTAGGACATGAACACTTCTATCAAATATGTGAGTTTAGTACAGTCTAGAAGCCACAGAGAGCAAGAAAAAAAATGCAGGCAAGTTTTGTATTATTTCTTAGATTAGCTATTTATTTTCCGTTTTGTAAATTTTAAAAACATGGTTATGCCTACCTGAGGTGGGGAGAACAGATGGTACACCTTGATAGCTCAGGAGGAAAATCTGAGTGACGTAGGACTACAAGCCAACCGACGACGAGGAGATTACTTACGGATGATGTGTGCTCTTTAGTTATCCCTGAAACTCCCTTGGTACAATAAACCCACTAGTTGGGAGGTGAAGGCTAGGACAGACAGATTAACATAACAACTGTTCTTCACAACTAAGTCATTTGTTAAATAAAATCTATGGGAAAGCCAATGCCATAAAAGAAGTTGGATAGCATCACCGTGGTGTTATCACTCTTGTTATCCTTGAACTCTAGACACTTAATGATCTTCAAATAAGTAGTATTTAAACAAACCTCTTTTCAAACGACATGAAGGGCTGGAGCATTTATTTAATAACCACCACAAACATAAAGTAAGTGGTACAAAATTCCTATTTTTTTAAAAAAGGTTTTATTTATTTATTTGACAGAGAGAGACACACAGTGAGAGAGGGAATACAAGCAGGGGCAGAGGGAGAGGGAGAAGCAGGCTTCCTGGGGAGCAGGGAGCCTGGATGTGGGGCTCCATCCCAGGACCCTGGGATCATAAACGGAACCACCCAGGTGTCCCTAAAATTCCTATTTCTTGATTTAATTTTGAGAACAATGCAATGTGCTTAGTAAGCCTTCAAATCCTAAAGTTAAACATTTTTTTGCCCCCATTTTCCACTCTTAAATCTACTGAAAAAAAAAAAAAAAGATTCTTACTGCTTTTGGATTTTTTAGCACAAACCATGTTGTTTAGTGCATACTGAAGAAGGCTGGCTAATGGACATCAATCAGTGAAGAAATTGCTCAAAGACAGCACGTGCATTATGCTGGTTTGAGGAAGATACCCCCTATGCCATAGCACAAACACAACAGGAAACTTCTTGTGACTTTCTGTCCACAGAATCACTGCATGGAAGACAAAAAGGCTGAACCGCTTTGTGATACACTGAAATATTTTGCTATCTCTACGTGGTTTCTCTAAGAACAGAATTTTATGAAGTCTGAGATCACTCTGACAGGCATCCGTTAAAACGTGACTGTTTTTTGTCTATGTGCAGATTCCTGTATGGTGATGTTTCTGATTCTTCTTTCAGGTTGTAAACGCCTTTGAGAATTGGTAAAAGTTACAGAATTTAGAAAAAATGTGCATGTGCATACACACACACACACACACACACACACACACAGAAGTTGTGAGTCTTATGAAGGAGTTCCATGAAATCCCTGAGCGTGTCTGTGAACCCTTGGGGCACACAGGCTATACTTTGTCTGATTGATGAATTCATCTTACAATTTTATAACCTTTCTAGGCTGCCTGCATTTTATCAGTACTTTTTGGTAAAGGGAGCCAAGATTCCTTTAAAAATCCACAAAAAGATGAGATTCCTTGAAATAGAGAGTTAACAGACAAACAAAACTCAAAATCCAACAATCCCAAAGAGTCAATTCTTTTAGGAAAATCTGTCATTCTTTCCCAGGTGTTGCTCTTTCATTCTACACTAGTGAGATTCCAGTCCTTCCCTTCCTTTTGCTCCTTTCACTGGCCGTTCGTTCTACCTCTCCCCTCATGGACCCTAATATGGGCTCATTCTTACCCATTCTGTTCCCAACTGGTGTGACATCGTTTATAAGTGTGTGCTCATTTAATTTGTGAAACCGGGTCCCTTTCTTTCTGTGTATACAATCCAGAGCACCTTCCCCTTTCTTTGAAAAGACTTCTTCAAGAAAGACAAGTTCTGAACTGGGGAAATAATCTTTCTCCAGATTAGCCAGTGCCTTGACTCATTTTAAACGAAAGATCGCATGCGTTTTCATCACTCCCAGTTTACTCTTCCTACCGCAACGAGCCAGGGGATCCACCAGTTTCACACCTCCCTCCCCACCTTTTCCGTTACTCCACGTTCCAAAAATAGCCGCGTCTATAAGATCCCATGGGCTTTTTACCTGCGGGAAGTCTGGTGGGTGTCTCCCAGGCAAAAGGGTTCTCTTCACATGCAGTTCTCCAGCCTTCCACTAGTTGGGGCTCTATACAAAGGAAAGAAAACAGAGGGGCCGCTTCAGAATTATTTACTAACAAAACAGCATTTTATCTGTGGTATCCCTAAATGATTTCCTCAGTTTCTGAAAGAAGCTAGCTGATTTTTGTTCCAGAATGCCAATCATGAGGTTGCATTATAATGTTGGGTCAGTTGTGTTTGCGTTGCTTACCTTTGTCAGAGTCTGAACCCAGTTTTTGGTATGATTTGCAGGGATCCAGTTCCCCCAATGCGTCATTATTACAAAATATGAGAATATAAAATGCACAAATGGAACGTTCCGTACATAAGTAGTAAGACCATCTTCTTTGCCAGTTCTTTTCTAGGACAGGGCGGTCTCTAGTCATCTTTTAAAGCCCATGGCAAAGTCCTGCACAAACTGGGCCCTTAATGAATGTGGTTTAATTTCTGGCTCCCCCTAAGGACCTGAGTTTGGATGAGACTATCCAGTACCAGTTCTCTGGAAAAACCTTTGGGAAACTGTCTTGGTCCATGATAACACTTGGCTCTCTCCCTTGGCTTTACTTACTCTGCATCAGGCTGAAAGATTACCTTGGGTAGTCACATAGAATCAAGGTCTCCCAGTGCTTTGCTTACACTTGCATTTTGTTTTAGGTTTGTTTATCCCATCTCTCTGCACCTCCCCGGAGATCCTTTGGCAAATCTGATAAACAATACCTTTTTCTTGCTCCAGGCAGAAAGTCCAATCGAACACAATGGGAGGCCAGACTTGGCTGACACACAGGCTGCAGGTGTTCTCCGCATTGTGGTCATCTAAACCAGATGCTGGGAGTCTGAGCACCTGCTTCCCTTCTCTGTCTACACTCTGGATACTACCACTCCTCCATACAGGAGGCCAGAGAACCAGGTCGAAGAGAATAATGTACCTAGGGCAGCATCCTTCTGACGGATAGAAGGAGTTGCCCTAGAAACGGTGTCACAGAATTCCCCTTGAAGTTCTCCAGGACATACAGTTTGATTTGTGCTCTCCCTCCCTTTCCTCATCTGACACAGCCATCCTCTCAACACACGGGCACTGGACAGTACAGTCTACTAGAGGCAATAATCAGTGGCAATTTTACTTTCTTCTGGATTATATTATCTGGAAAGAGAAGACCGGCCATGGACAAGAGGGTGATGGTTTTTATAGTTCTGATAACAATGATACAGATGTCGAAAGCCTTGCACAGCCTCAGATTTTATGAACATTTCTATAGGTGCCATAAATCTCTGAATGGTCCTGAAAGAACATGAAATCTTCTATCTTGAATGTGGAATGTTAATAAGAGATCAGGGAGAAATTGCTCTGTGTTGGAGGGTGACTCTGCTCTCAGCGCTGGATGCCAGAGAGGTTAGTTCTGGTATTTTTATTAAACCGATTCTAAGTTCTATTATTTCAGTTCTAAATATTAGTAATAAACTGAGTGCTTATGTATTCAAACCTTTAAGAGCAAAGCTGAATGAATTAAGGTCTGTCCTGCTATTAATATTTTTATTTCTGATTTTGATGTTCTTTTTCCTCACAGATATCTTTCTGGACAGAGCTAATATTTTGCATTCATGTAAGAGATATATTTTCTCTGTGTATCTCTGCACTGTGTTCCCAGAAGTCAGTGGAGAAAGCTTTTGCCTTGAGGATTGAAGCCCTGAGCCCACTCCACTCCGGAGGCCTCCCTGCAAACCACCTTCAGGGAGGGGCCTGGGGCCACAGCCCGGAGGAGAGCCAACACTAGGCCTGTGGCCTTCTCAACACCACCAGGAGCCCCTGGTCTCTTGTTGGTGAGCTTCCACTGATGCCACAGCTTGAGGAAGTCCTTTAGAATTATTCCCTGTAGCTCTGTAATACATGGATACATTATGGTTCCTGCCCCTCGGACCAAGTCTACCCTGAAAAGACTAGGATCTGGGGTGGGTCCAAGGGCAGGAAAGGGGGCAAGAGGCAGGGTGAGTTGGGGGGGCGGAGGAGGGCCAAATCAGAACTTGTGGAGTCCAAGTGATAGGAAGGATCCGTGATGTTTGTTGAAAATTCCTTGAAATAAACCAAAGGGTTCACAACATATTTCCCTGGAAAGGGCCGCCTTCCACTTCTCAGCCAGAGCCTCATTAGAAGAGGCACCCAGACCCGACACGATTAGAGGAAGAGAGAGGGGGCCTCTGGTAGGTGAGAAACTATGGGCACCCAGATCTGCAGCTGGTTTGTGCCCAGAGCTCCGAATCCATTTGGGGTTACTAAGGAAGAAGGGATGGGGCGCGGGGGTGGGGGGCACTGCTTAGACAGAGATGAATATGGAAATGGAGATTACAACCAAAGATAAACAATGCATCTTTTATTTAATACGATTGGAACTGTTTTCACTTATCTGCGTGACTCTTTTGTGCCTCTTAATTTGTCCTTGAAGTTCTGTATCTAATCATTAGCTGAGCAACCAATAATTCTCCCTCAGTCCCCCACCCCTTTTTACAACCAACTTTAATCTTTCGACTCAGTGAAAAACATGCTTCCCCTATCATAACTGGTTTAACAAAAATTCTCTTTCAAGTTTAGATTGCTCAGATACAAGGCTTTCCTGCAGCTTCATGCTAGAGAAAGGAATTTACATTAGAAAAGAGAGATTTATGATAGCATTGAATTTCCATTTGAATATGGAGAGTTAATAACATGCATATGTTTTTTTATTATTATTATTTTAAGGTCTGAACGACGCCATAGGCAAGGGGAAAGCTGGAAACTGCGGGGCTGGCAGGACTCAATGAATAATTTAATCTGGATTTCATTCACAAACAGCAGCTCACTCCTAGGGAAAGGACCGGTGCGCTTCCCCAGATCGGAACTGGAGTAAGTGCCAGGATTTCCTGATTTGTTTCCATTTCTCAAAAAACCTTTTTCCCCCGGACTAGGACAGAATTAGACTTCCTTTTCCACTTTTGGCTCCTTCCAGGCTATTCTTGTTCAAGGTATTCTCTCCCCTTTCCCTGCATTCTTCTTTGTCCAAGTCTCAGCTGGGTTCTTTTGTCTCAGAGAAACAACCGATGGGCCGTGAAAGAGGTTGGCAGGAGGAGAAGGGTCCCCGGGACAACAAGGGGCCCGCGGGAGCCGGCTCCACCTTCAGATTTCCAAGCTCCTGTTCCGTCTCTCCCCAGCCTGGCCTGTGGGGTTCCAGGGGCCAGGGTGGGAGGCGTGTCACGTGACCTGGCCCGAGTCCTGAGGTTCCAAAGGGAGATGCTGAAATCACTTCCATTCCCAGACCCTCCGCTGATGAGGCTCTGGTCTCTGGGAGAACAGGGTTTCAGCCAGATCTAAGCGTGGCCCAGCAACGTTGGCTCTGCAGGGGCCAAGCTTCCAGGACCCGTGGCTCTCCGGGCTTCTATTTCACCCTCTTACCCTTTCTGCTCAGTTTGGTTTCACTTTCACCATCTTGACCATCTCCAATGGTTACAAAAGCTTGTTTTGAAAATTTACTCTACGTTCATCTGTTTATGAATGTTTGGCAATCCGCGGATTAGTTCCTTTTCCCAAAAAGGGAACTGTAGGCCCTGATCAGTGGCCGATCTGCATGTATGAAAGACAACCAGATCTTGTTGGGGCCTGGCAAATAAGACTGGTCAGAGAAATGTTTATTTGCGTTTCTATTTCTTTTTTTCTTCTCTCTTGTTTCTGAGGCTAAAGGTCTCTTTGGATTTCACTAGTTAAGGTCATGTCTGTTTTGAAACAGCTCTGCCTTTCTGGCCTTAGGGATAATTGTGAAAACCGTCTTGGAGCAACCTTATCCTCCCCCTTTGGATATCTTTCTTTCCCATCTTGGGTTCCCTGGGGCGGCCAGTGTCATCCGTCCTTTTTGCTTTCCTAGAAATCAGACTTAATTCTCAGCAGAGAAGCAGAAAACTTTGTTTGTCCTGGAGTATGGCTCTAAACATTAATTAGCACCATCCCAGTTGTTATTTGCATCATAGCAGAAGAAATTTAAAGCAAAGGAATGAGTCTCTAATTGCAGAATTTATGGTATCAGTGGAGGTCCTCTGAGCAAAATGTCTTCCAAGTGTTCCTGAAGTCACATCATATTGAGGGTAGATTATGCTTAAAGGAAGGGTTGAATCAGGCACATGTGTTTATTTATATCCTTATGTATACGTACGTAGATGTACACACAAAGAGACACAGTTGATCACAAAAAGGCCCCGCTGGGTCTGCTGTACACACGGATGGAATGACCAGGAGCATTCTCTGAACCATATACTAAAATAAGGATGCTATGAATCAGGACAATGTTTTGCTTTTGCAAATCGTCATTGCACAACATTCGTCTGCTCACTCAAGTAACTGTAACTTTTAGAAACCAAAAAGGCCTCCTGCAAAGGTAGGCAAACAAGTGGCTGTTGTCACTATAATCCACACACATACTCAGATGCACGCAGTGGCCTAACGTGCACAAGGAAAGCTTAAATGGACATTGGCATAGTTGGGGACATCAAAAGAATAACAATTTTCTTTTTTCTCCTGCTGGTTTCAGAGATGGTACTGTAGGTGGAAAGAAGCAAGGTTTAACTTTTTGAGGATTTCCTTCAACTCCTGCTTTGGATTCTCTTCTACAACAAGCACCTAGGAAATGATCAGTGGACAAGTGTAAGGGAAGCACATACTCCCCAAATCACATCATGTCCTCATCACAGTCTAGAAAAAGATAGAAAATGAGTAATTGGCCTGAGGGCCAATATGACAGGTATCTTCTGAGGGGAAAAACCCCCACAAGAAACGTGTGATGGGAAGAAAAGAAACCAGATTTATGACAGTGTTAATAGAAAACCTAAAAATCTCTGAAAGAAGGTGAATGAATATGCAAACTAGAGGGTAGAATATAATACATTGTATTTATTTTTTACTCTCTCAACTGCTTTACTGAGGTATGACTAATGGATAAAAAGCTGTACATAGTGGATGCCCGTAACTCCCTGAGCGTGGGGGAGAACGTGATACATCTGGTGCTGTGTCTA